AAATAAATAAATTCACACACACACACACACACACACACACACACACACAAAATCCGGGGGGGTGGGGGAAAGAAGACTTAACAACTACAACTCCTAAGCAAACAGAAAGGACACTGTTGTGTGGGAGGGGGGAAAGGGAGGAGGGAGGGGGGTTTCGATAATGGGCCACAATAATCAACCTCATTGTACATCGACAAAATAAAATTTAAAAAAAAATAAATTAAAATCTAAATTTAAAAAAATAAAATAAATAAATAAATAAATCACCAGCTCCTACCATGCTAGGCCTGTATCTGCCTTTATTTTACCCCTGGCTTGCCTTTCATTTCTCTTTATTTATTTCCAGTTTGTTTTAAAAGCCAGAGACTGTGGGTTTTTGTCTCTCATGTTCAATTATATATTTTATATTTTGTATCATGTTTTCTTCAGCATTTCTAGAAATCTGAATCAGAACAGGATCCTGGTTAGTTTTCGTCCTGTTGTTAGAAGTTTCGGGCATAGTTTGAAAACATAAAACACAGCTTTGTGGGCTCTCTGCACTTCCAGTGACTGGGCCCTGATTTAACACTGGCCCCTGGGGCTCCCTGTCTTCTCCCCTGTGCTTGGCTCATTACCAGATCAAATTGGAACGTTCCCCAGACTCATCAGCATGTGTCCGTGTGGGTCCCAGGTCTGATCCTTCAATCTGCCTCCAAACTCTTCTCTTCATATCTACTTGTACACGCAAGAAGGTGCTTCACCCTCACAAGCCCTTTTCCTTTCTTTTGTGGGCAAACAGCATCCTATTCATTTGCCCCGGGCCGAGCTTCTCATGCTGATCACAGATACCCCTGCCCGGCCAGCAAATCATGTTGTTTCTTTTGCATGCTTTTCTGAAAAATGGATTACTTGATTCTTTCCACTTTTTAGAGGAGTCTAAATCTCTAAAAATTTCAAGCTTTCTTCTGACTCAACTTAGTTCCTTTTCTCCCAAAATATTATTACCACTTCATGTGGGAAAGTCATATCAGCCTTATTCAACCCATTTATTCTGATGTGGTGTTTTCTTTTAAAATCTGAACTGGAATTTCTACCAATTCAAAACTCATTAGGAATTCTCAGCAAGTAAAAGGGCAAACTTTCTCACTTCAGCTGCTTAGTCCTAGACATCCCATTCCATTATAGACCACGGACTGGCTCCAAGGTCCGGAGTCTTCACCCACCACCACAGGCCTTCTCCTGTGTCAGTCAACTAAATGCACTCTTGGCAGGCAACTCAGTAAAAAAGGTTTTAAGTAATTTTTCCACAATATACACAAAATTGGAATGATTTAAATGAATCTCTTTGTCTTTCAGAGAAGATAGTTTTGCTCTTTAAAAAATGACAGCATGAATAAGTATTTATTATATATGACACTAATGTACATTTTATGCATTTTAAGTAGGTAGCAATTACTTTTCATTAAATAAAGTGATACACAAAGATGGAAACATATGAGACCCTTTATTTTAAAATCTTGACTCAAAGACCTTTCCTTGAGTAATTTTCATTTATTTCTAATATTTTAGAATATTTTATGTACCTGGAATTAAGAGTTTTCTCAAGACTCCCTTAATCAAAATATGGATGATGGACAGCCAGGTAGATGATGAATGAATAATTATAAGGTATATTTCCCTTTCAAAGATAAAAGTGCAATTAAAAAGTTTTGAATTGTATCTTTCTTTTACACACAAATTTCAAATGAACACTAATTTCTAAGTGAAAGGTGTTATTTTTTATCTTTTTTATATATATACAGATATATATGACTTTGAGTTGAATCATTTTAGTTAACAACTATGTTTGAAGGAATTCTCATTTCTTTTACAAAGTATATTAATAGAACAGAAAATGTGCGTCATTCTATTGGGTAACATATATTCTTTTTCCCTAGTTTATATTTGAAATGTAAATTTAAACACTGATTCATATCTGATGCTTAAAAGAAAAGTCAGCAAATTATGTTACACAAGGGCTAAAAATATAGCTTCTGGAGTTATATTTAAGACAGAGCTTTTAGAATAACCTAAATTTAGTATATTATCATTCACTTTGTATATTTGTTTAGGTTTTACACTCTGTTTTACAAACCCTATTCTGTAAATAAATGTGGCTTGTGGTAGTGCACATCTTTCCTAAGACGGAAGACAGGATTTCTGTGTGAGCTACCCATGAACTTGTACTAACTTACTAATGACCTATATCTTACTTGAGCAAAAAAATTCATAATGCATATACATGACATTGGTCATGGGATATTTGTAGTAATTACAGTCCAGTGAGTATGTATTAATTTCACAATTAAACTTAAAAAACAACAACAAAAAAAAACCTTACTAGAACCTCCAAGCAATAATCTTTCCTACCTCTTCCCTAGAAAATAAACAAATTGGCGTAAACACTCATTTTTCCTGTACATTGTATTTTAAAGACTGTCAGATAAATGCTCTATTCTCAACTGCCAGTTCCAAGTAAAAGCTATCTGTGCCCCTTCAACTTCATGCTGTGTAGCTCCATATGCAGCTTGGCCATTTGTATGCAGGTTGCATAGAAGAGAAATTAAAGTGCTCCTGAAAGAAAGGGGGTAATTTTCCACCCTCTTACACATCTGTGCCCCTTCAACTTCATGCTGTGTAGCTCCATATGCAGCTTGGCCATTTGTATGCAGGGGGCATAGAAGAGAAATTAAAGTGCTCCTGAAAGAAAGGGGGTAATTTTCCACCCTCTTACACACAAAAAAAAACCTTTGCTTTTCTTAATCAGAGGAAATCAGGAAAAGAGCGAGCCCAAGCCTTCTTTGTATACACGGATGGGTTTACATTTTTATATCATATTTTAAGGCACTTATTTAATATTAAGTGAAAACACCTAATTTACTTAATATTCAGTTCTGAGCAAAATAAACCTATTGTGTGTCAAATGTTATACCAGAGTGCCAAAATTAGAACTCCTTAGCAACACCTTTCATAAAAGTCAAAACACTTTCAATTTTTCTCATAGTAAATTCAGATTGCTCTGAATTTCAGACTTGGTCATATTTCTGATTTGATGTTCCACAATTGGTGCTTCTGACAAGTAAGGGAAAGGTAGACACTGCACAATTCTGCTTTGAAGTCTCTTTCCTCCTAGAGTTTGCATTTTCCAGCCTCGTGCAAAACTGACAAGCTCTCTAAAATATTCTTTCACTGACATTTCTCATCTCCCAGAAGTGTGACTGTGAAGGTTAATATAAGCACCTTCCCAGCAAAATCGGACGATTGCTGAGGTTGTAGATCTGAGAACAGGGAGTCTAGTGGGGAGAGCAGCAACATAATACTCTCATGAATTTGTCACACATCTTCCCAGATGGTTTCTCTAAGTGCAAAACTTATTCTCTCATAATTCCTGCAGATTATAAAATCTCTCTTAATTTTGAAGTTAGAGATTTTCCAGAGTACTCATATTTTTTAAAAAAATTACACTATATATTCTCTTTATTTCCACATATGGTATATAGAACTGATGGCTTACAATGAGAAATGTTTCCTAAGACAAAATAATTCCTATGCATTTTATAGCCATTAGTTTTGCATTATTTCAAGGCATGTTAGAAAATGAAAAGATAAAAAGGTCTTCGGTGTGTCTAAGGTTTAAATGAACAACCTTGCTCTTAAATCAGTGGTTTGCATATCAAGAATGTGACTACAGGTTAAATGCTGAAGTCTTAAGTGTCTCTTCCTGAGAAATTCTCCATTCAGGGCTTAAGAGTAGAAGACACTTGCTAGTGTTTCTCTGGGGAATCGGCCGGCATTCCTCCACCTCTGCAAACTGGACAACAGGTTCCTTTCACATATTCAGGACTGGAACACGGAGCCGGGGGACAAGCCTCCACCACACATGTGACCTGGCCACTCTGAAAGGCAACATGCAAATATCATTCCCATGATTTTTTACAGTAACATTACTTAAATAATAATAATAATAATAATAATAATAATAATAATATCTGAAAGGCAACATGCAAATATCATTCCCATGATTTTTTACAGTAACATTACTTAAATAATGATAATAATAATAATAATAATAATAATAATAATAATAATAATAATAATTAATAATAATAATAATAATAATAAAAGTTTCTTATAACACATAATCTGATAGGCTGAGTATCTCAGTATAATAAAATTGCTTATGGTGTAAGCTAATGTTTGCATGTGGCTCCTATTCATTCTTTCTTTCTGCACATTTGTGTGAAGAGCAAGATAGAAATGCTGCCCTAGAAAATGTTACCTGCAGCACTGCATAGCACAGTGTGCATCAGGAGGTTCTCGCATTTCAGAGGGCAGAGGGGAGTCAGCTCTGCTCAAAAAGCAAACTCCATAACAAACACTGAGCAGTTTTCTTTTGGTGCTTACTGTTAACACTTTTAAAAACATTTCTATAGAACTGTGTATTCTACCAAGAGGTTTCAGGTAAAGTTTATAGTGAGCCTGACGGTAGAATCACAAGATGAACTTCCGTCCCAGTCTGCTTCAGTTTACCCGTGTGACCTCAGGCAAGTTATGGAAACTTCCTTCGCCTCAGTTCCCTCATCTGTTAGTGGAAATGCAAAAGGCCCACATGGTATGGAGCAAGTGCTCATCAGATCGTAGCTATATTTATATCGATAATCTGAAGCCTTGGAGTCTCGTGCCTGAATCTTGATCTTTAAAATATGCCTAGAATCTCTTCCCAAGGAGAGGATATTTTCTCTCTCTTTTTGAAATTTTCAGGTTTGAGTTTGTGTTTAACTGCGGGGCTAGGAGAAGTGGCCGGGGGGAGGACGGGAACGCTGGCCGCGGCACCTCGCAGACGCAGGCGGCGCAGTCCTTCAGCCAGCGCTCCCCCGCTTTCCTCGGGACGCCCGCGCCGTCCGTGCAGCCCGCCCGCCTCAGGCGCGCCTCCAGCTGGGCGATCTGCAACAGGAGAACACAGGACAGCAGCAACTGAGGCAGGCGGCGGCAAAGCCAGTAAATCACACAGTTTATGAAACACTCTGTTTTGTGAGCACGCACCTAGAAGGCAAAAGAAACTTCAGAACCTACAGAATTTTAACATTTCCTTCCCACACTTAATGAACGTGAGTCATCCAGTGTCTAAACTAGTAAACAGTTCTCTGTGTGTGAAAAAATATTGACTATGGGCCAAGTACCTGAAGCAGTTAATATATAAATGAGGCAGAATTTAAATCAAATGAGTGAAATTACAGATTGGAAAAACCTTCTCAATAAGCATAAATATTAATTTAACTAATCAATATTTTATTTATTTTCTATCATCTAAGTTGTCATACACGGCATTCATTGAACAAATATTTATTGTTTCAAAGATAAAGCAAGTAACCTTGGGTCTCAAAGAGCTTACGATTTGGTAGAAAGGCAGGCCAATAAACCACAGCTATAAACCAATTAAATAACAAGGTTGGTACAAAGCATAGGGGAGCAGAAGAAAAGCCACAGCCCGTTCTGCCTCAGGGAACGAGGAAGGGCTGTGTATGAACCAAACTGTGTCCCCCCAAGACTCACAGGTTGAAGCCCTAACCCCCCACCCTGACTGTTGGGAGTTAGAACCTATATGGAGGTAATTAAGGTTAAATGAGGCCATGAGGATGGGCTTCTAGTTCAATAGCACTAGTGTCCTCATAAAAAGAGGAAGAGACACCAGGAGTGCCTACGCACAGAAGGAAAGCCATGTGAGACGCAGCAAGCAGGCACCATCTGCAAGCCAAGGGGAGAGGCTTCAGAAGAAACCCCTGCCAACCCCTGTCTTAGACTTCCAACCTCATAACTCCTACGCACAGAAGGAAAGCCATGTGAGACGCAGCAAGCAGGCACCATCTGCAAGCCAAGGGAGAGGCTTCAGAAGAAACCCCTGCCAACCCCTGTCTTAGACTTCCAACCTCATAACTGGGAAATAAATGTCTGTCTTTTAAGCCACCCAGTCTGTGGTATTTTAATACAACTGACATGGAAAAAAGCATTTGCACTCTGACCAGGAGGATGACTAAGTATGTCAGGAAAACAAGTAGGAAAAAGGCATTTCAGGCAAATGGGAAAAAGTATGTATTCAAGTATGGAGACTACAAGCAGGTCAGTACTTCAGGAACGTAGACTACAGTGGGGGAGAACAGTATGGGGGGTGCTGGTGGGAATCGAGGCTGGATGAGTGGGCAGCAAAAAAATCTGGGACCGTAAAAGTCATGTAAACTGATGGAGCATAGTATCTAGGTAATGGGAAATAACATCACAATGACCACAATGATCACAGTGGCGAAATGAGGGATAGACTGGTGAGATTTGGGACTGGAAACAGAGGAACTGGGATGGAGACCAATGCAGGCTCCAGTGCATTGGTAAGGAAGTGAGTGTCAGTAAGAGCCAGGCAGCAGGGAGAGGTGCTGGCACACGTGGGTGAGGAGAGGAGACAGAGGCTCCAGGAAACCATGTTCACCGGGTGTATAAACGGTGGTAACGTTCACCAAGCTATCATTCCAGAGAATGCACTGAAAATGAGTAAAAAATGTATGGAGAAATTACAAATGATTAGTTGAAAGAGATTGTTAGAAATGATGAAAATAATATAATTTTTACAAAGGATGTGTACAAGAACAAGGAATAACTTATAAAAGTCATAGCTGCATTGCTATGGGTTGAATCGCGTTGCCCCCAAAATTTGTATAATGAAGTCCTAATACCCTGTACCTCAAAATTTGACTGTACTGGGAGATAAAGACTATACAAAGGCAATTAAAGTAAAATGAGGTCACCAGGGTGGGCCCTAATGCAGAATGACTGGTGCTCCCATAAGAGGAGATCAGGACACAGACACGTGGAGGGAAGACCATGTGAAGATACTCACCTGGGGAGAAGGTACCACCTACAAGCCAAGAAGAGAGGCCTCAGAAGTCCACCCTACCCACCCTGGACCTCAGGCTTCCAGCTTCCATAACTTTAGGAAAATAAAATTCCTGTTGTTTGAACCACCCAGTCTGTGGTATTTGTTATGGTGTCTATAGCAAACTAATATAAGCACCATTAGGACTAGATCCTATATCTTCAAATAACCTAACTATCACAGTGTACTTACGAATCTTTACGGATTTATTTTTAATGAGATTCTTTCAGATTCTTCTAATCTCTGTTGTTTGGTTAGAAATTACATCATAATTTCAAACATTCACCAAGGTTGTATATATATATGACAAAATTTACTGTGCCCGAGAAAATTTTTGAAACAAACAATTGACCAAACTGGAAGACTTGAAGACCATAAAAGTGATGATTTATTTTTACATAGTTATTGAGCACCTGCTGTTTGAGAGATTGTCAGCCAGACCTAGAAGAGATAAAATGTCACTAATCCAGGGTTTCCATTCTTAAGGAGTCTGCAGCCCAGTAAGGGAGAGTGAATTTACACAAAAATGTGATAGAAGCCCAGGTGTTGTATGCCATAGGTGTACACACACAGCGATGTGGAAGTTCAAGGAAAAAGGAGTGACCTTTAGAAGAATGGGGTGGGAAGGGTATCAGCAGGGAAGAATTTACTATTTACGTAGTACTTGAGCTGGGCCTTTGAATGAAGGTTTTATTTGGATATGGGAGTGTTTATGCACAGGGTGGTGTGGAGCAGAGGGATGTGAAAGGACATTTAGCTAAAGGGAAAACGTATGAATGAAGTTAAAAAGAGGGGAGGGTCAACATCAGGTATTTCAGTTTGGACAGCACATAAGACATGTAAAAGGGGTTATTTTGTAAAGAACTATGTTGTAAGAAGCCTTAAATAGCCACGAACTTGGACTCCATTGAGGAAGCAAAAAGTATTGATATGAAAAATAAATTTGCTTCCTAAAATATTTTACCACATTTGGGCTGAAGTAGGACAGCCAGGAGGGCTCTTTGGAGGGTATGTAGCATTAGATCGCCTACACTTGGGCAGTGGCACCCACTCAGTCCTTCATTTATTCATCACCCAGTAAGTATGTTAAGCTCCCAGTATGTGCCAGCTAACACACTAATCAACTAATGAGACTTGATCACTGTCTTTACATAAGCAGTGAGATTGGAAAGGGGGACAGGAAAGCACAGTGGAGGCAGGAGTGACAGGGCTTTGTAACAACAAGACGTGAAACAATAATCTACTGCTTGAGTGGGGTCATGAGTGTGGCATATAAAAATCACAGAAAATCTCTTGAAATGTTAGTGATTATGTCCTAGAAGACTAGGACGAAAAAAACTTTTATTTACAAAAATACTGGAGAGATGGCAAAACATTAGTAGAGTTAAATAAAATCCAAAAAAAATAAAGAGTAAAAGTAGCTCTACAATATGTAAAAGGTATTCAGGTGGTAACTTCTGCCCTCAAGGAAAAAAGTAGAGGAAAGCAAAGTAAATAAACAAATGACAGCAACACATCTATTCTAAATTTTAGGCACTTAAAACAATAAAACCTTTTCAAACTTTGATAAAATGACAAAGAAATTCTTTAAGAAGGGAAATGATTTGAAAATCTTTTATGTACCATAAACACAAGATATGCAGTACATGAGGAAGTTTTTTTCCAGTCCTAATTACAAAGTCTTGAGAATAAAAGTATGTAACTTTCCTCTCCCTACCCTCCCATATGTTCATTGTTAGTACATAGAAATACCACTAATATTTATATGTTTATCTTGGGTTTATCTTGTATCCTGTGATCTTGTTCAACTCACTTATTTGTTTTAGTAGTTTTTTGTAGATCTTGGAGATTTTCTATGTAGGTAGCTATATTATCTAAAAATAGTTTTATTTCTTCCTTTCCAATCTATAGGCCTTTTCATTTTCTTGTCTTATTACACTGGCAACTATGTTCAGCACTAGGCCGAATACAAATGGTGAGAATGGGAATCCTCGCTTTGTTTGCAATCTTAGGAGGGAAGCATTCAACCATTCACTGTTTAGCCTGATAATGGTGAGGTGTTATTTCTCTTTTGCTGCTTTCAAGACGTTTTTCTTTTTATTTTGTTTTCAAAAGTTTGACTATAGTGCATCTTGGCATCTTGGTGTGAATTTCTTTGGAATTACCTTCATCCTTTTTCTTCTTTCCTCCCAAAACTCTGCTTACACAAATGGCTGATGTTTTCCGTTATGGTCCAGCAGGTCTCTGAGGCTCTGCCTCATTTTGTCTGTGTTCTCTCTGTTATCCAGACTACGTAATTTCTAATCTTCTATCTTCCAGTCCACTGATTGTTTCTTCTCTCTTCGCCCCTGTGCTGTTGAGCCTATCCACTGACCTTTTTTATTTCTATTGTTACAGTTTTCAGTTCTAAAATTTCCACTGGTTCTTCTTTATGTCTTCTATTATTTGATAAAACGTTCTGTTTTTCATTTGTTTCCAGTGTGTTTGAAATTGCTCGTTGAAGCATTTTTTATGGATCCTTTAAAATCTTTGTCAGGTCATTTCAACCTCTCTGTCACTTCAGTGATAGAATCAATTGGTTACCTTTTTTCATTCCATTTGAAGTCTTCCTGGTTCTTTGTATGATGAATAACTTCCTATTGACACCTGGCCATTTTGAGTGTTGTAAGACTTTAGGTCTTATTTAAACCTTCTGTTTAGGTGTCTTCCTCTGAAACTGCTCTGGCATGGGAAGAGGGGAACCTCTTTGTTACTGTCATGTGGGAACAGAAGTCCAGGTTCCCTACTTGGCCTCCGTTGACACACATGGGGGTTCTCTTCCTTAACCCTGAGAGGAGTTGGAGTTCTGGCTCCCTGTTGGGCCTCTACGTGTACCTCCCTGGATGGCAAGTGTAGATGCTTTTTTTACCGCTGTCCACATGGTCTTCACAACACCTCAGGAGGGGAATGGCAGAGCATGGCCTCATCACCACTGGGAAGTGAAACAAGTCCTGAGTCTCCTGTGAGCCACCCCAATGGAGAA